TAAGAGGTGTTATTCGGGTTTTATTCAGATTCGAGATTTATGGGTTTTTGCAAAAAAAATATAATATTTTAAAAAAAAAAAAGGTAATTTGACGAAAAAAAAGGTAATTTGGCGAAAAAAAAGTATTTTGACAAAAAAAAGTATTTTACGTATTTTGATTCGAAAAAAATTATATTGATACGAAAAAAAAACGAGACATGAGAAAAAAATGAATATCAGTAGTTTGACCGCATGGAATACAGATACAATCGTTAAAAAAAATATGAAATATGCGATTTGTAGTACAAAAATCATTCATGGACGAACAAAGGCTGCAAAGGGAAGTAAGCTGAAGGGAGTACTTCCATGGAAGAATCTGGAGACATGGAATTTTCTCCAGGTAATTTGGATTCGTCAGATAATGGAACCGTTAAGGGTAAGAAAGGGTCTGAAGATTTGGAGATACTGCTGGGTATCGTAGGTTCAAGGGAGTGTGTAAAGTTGGTTTGATTATTAATTGTAGAGTTAATAAACGTTAATTGGTTGCCAGCAGACATAGATATTGATATATCTATTCTGCTGTCATATTCACCACTCATACGTGATTCTTTTAGTTTTTTCATTTTCGGCGATTTTGTCCCAATATCTCTTTATATCGGGGGGCTCGTTCGCCCATTGGGCTGATATTACTTTCGACACAGTCCTCATGTCCATCGGCGTTTTGGAATTGTTGAGACATTGACTATGTTTAAGATGATAAGTACGGTAAAGTATAAAACGATTTGGAGACTTTTTTTGCCTCCTGGACTTTCGAGACACCGATTTTCCCTTATGCGACTTGACGGGTTTCATTAAATTTTCATAAAATGAATGGTTTGGATAAATCTTAATTGGATAAGGTTTATAGCTTAATTCGCAAGAAAACGGGCGCCCTTTTTATACCTGTAGGATTAATTGTTTCGGATTTATTTCGGGGTTATTGGTTAAAACACACATGTATATATATGCTTATAATATGCTTTTTCTTTTTTCCAAACATGGAATCAAATGATGACATGACGATT